GCTGGCGTGGCTTTGCCCCTGGCCCTGTGATACTGGCAGACAAGCCTTACCCTCCATCTCCCCACCTGGAAGCTCAGAGTGAATCCCAAGGGGTGTGTTAAAGCAGCAGTTTGTGGCCACAGCCGGGCCTGGGGAGTGGAGCCTGCTGAATGCCCTCGGAATGCCCGCGCAAGGACGAAGAGCGGAGTCGCTCCCCTCCGCACTTGGCCAGCCGCGCTCTCTCTCCATCCTGGCTCCATGGCTCCGTGGCTCCGGTTCATTAATCCGAGCTCCGGGTCGTCGCTGGCGCCTCGTCACTCCGGAGACGCGGCGAGCGGCGTGCGGTTGCCTTGGGAACCTCGCCGGGCCCAGGCGCGCGGCGCAAGACTCCCGGCTAAGGGCGCTGGCCTGCGCTGCTCGCGGAGAGTGAGTGGCTTTTGGAATCTGAGACCCCTGTCGCCAGCGGCCAGGGGAGGGGGTGTTGTGGCTAGGGTTCTTATGTTTTTCTTTCTTTCTTTTTTTCTTTTAATTAAGGAGTAATAATACACACGTCTTAAGAGTACAAATGGATGATTTTTACATATAAATAAAATCCATGTAACCACTACTCGGATCAAGGTACAAAACGCTTCCAGCACCCCAGAAGTCTCCCTCAGGTCGAAAGGTTATTTTTAATGGTCTTTTTTTTTTTTTTGCACTTCTGGAATAAACCAGCGAGGGAGTGATCGAGGACGCAAAATTTCCGTTTCTTCTCGGGTCTTCCATGGGCCTCGATGTCCTGTAAATGGGAGCAAGAGGCTGGCGTTTGTCGCGTGGTTTACTCTTTGCAAAGCGCTTTGGATACTAAGCTAACCTAATACCCTATGAAGTCCGTACTACTTGGTTGATAGCCAAGTTATCGATGAGAACACTATGACTCGGAGAGGTTGAATAAATTGCCTAAATGGTGGAGCTTGAGACTCCAGCGAAGGCCTTCTTAACCTTGACGTTCCCCGTGCGCCCCCCCCCCCCCCCCCCGCCTTCTCTGGCCTCTTTAGAGAGCGACACCAATGAAATGCACCGAGAGTCCTGGCCAGTGTGGCTCGGGTGGTTGGAGCGTCCTCCAGCGCACCAAAATGTTGCGGGTTCTGATTCAAGTCAGAGCACAAACCTAGGTTACGCGTTCAATCCCCGGTGGGGGGCGAGCTGTTGATGCTTCTCTCTCGCTCTCTCTCTCCCTAACCCTTCCTCTCAATGAAAATCAATAGAAACATAATCTTGGATGAAGATTGTTTTTAAAGTGCACTGGGAGAGCAGGTAGTAACATATCTCTAGCCTGTTGTGTAGTTCCTTCTTCTTGGGACTCTACTCTCTTCCCCCAAATTTTGTCCTTGAAGCAAGTAAGCTCTCTCATCCTCAAAACCCACCAGGGCATCCTCTGAAGCCTTCCTAACTGAAATCCTCCCTCGTGACTCCCCCCAGCCCAGGGTAAGGCTCTTCTGTGCTACGTCCAACACGTGCACAAGCACCCACCTCCGAGTGTCCCAGGGCTCCTCGAGGCTGCCTCTGAGCTCGCCTTGCAAGGCGCCCGGCACACAGCTGGTCTTCAGCAAACGTGCTGGGAACTGAAAGTGGAGTAGAGGTTTTGGATCCTTGGTTTCTCCACTCTGTAAAAATGGGGCCCCGCAGTGGCCCTGCCGCATGTCACTCAAAAGGTATTGAGCTAGCCTTGGCCGGTGTGGTTCAGTGGGCTGGGCGTCCTCCTGTGCACCAGAAAGTTTCAGGTTCAAATCTGATCAAGGGGGCAAGCCCGTGTTTCGTGGGCTCAATCCTCCTCCCTGTCTGTGGAGGGGTGGGGGGAGGGAGCGGGGCGTGCAGGAGGCAGCCCGCCGATGACATCAATGTTTCTCTCTCTCTCCCACTCCCTTCCTTTCTCTCTAAAAATCAATAAACTATTCTTTTTAAAAAGGGGCGTGTGTGTACTGAGCCGGGAAAGAGCTTCGCAAACAGCCCGGGCGGGCGGACAGCAGGAAGAGAAAGGCGGTCCTCAGCCCACCCTGATTCATTAGGGAATGGACTCGTCCGCACTTCCCGGCCCAGACCTCGGGGCGCCTGGGAAGAGTTCATTCCTTCCACGGGGGAGAGTCTCCTCACCGAAGCCAGAAAGCCCTACAGCGGTCCGTAGGGACCTGAAGTGAGACCCAGGAGCCCAGGACCATAGCTCCTCTTCCCTCCAGGGCCCTGCCCAGCGGTGAGAGGCGCCGATTAAGTGGTGGCATGTCCTCAGGACGGCGATTTTTCACGTTACCACACTTTCCTGCCACACAATTGGAGACAGTTGACAGGGTATTCAATCCAGTGGGGAAATACACCAAAGGGCCGGGACGAGGAAGGAAACATGATTACATACACTTTTCTTTTAATAGTTGAACAACTCCCCCATTCTCTCTTCCATAAATCTGACTTTGAACATACGTTTTTGCTTTGTTAATGACAAAAAAAGAAAATCCTTGCCTTTGAGCTGAAGGAAATGTCCCTCCTGTCTTCCCCTCAATTGAGTTTTTACAGCAGACACATTTTAAGTGTCAGGGAAGTGAGGCGTTGAGAGGTGAAAGGAACCACCAGGGCATCAGGAAAAGGGTGGCCGAGGGTGCAGGGGGCCAGAGTGCTGGTATGGGCTACAGTCACCTGTTTTAAATGAGTAAGATTTTTCCCTCTTCTCCACAGGGGGTGGGGGGCAGTGTCTGAAAAATGCTCCTCCTTGAAGATGGGGTGCGTACGAAAATGGCAGGGCTGAGGACAGAGTGGTAGAACTTTGGGGAGAGAAGATCTATGTGACCTGGGGGAGCAAGAGACAAGTTTGAGCCTCAGTTTCCTCATCTGTAAAATGGGGGAGATGAGCACCCTGTCTCGATTTCATAGAGAAGACTAAATAGAAAGAGGACCAAATAACCAGACAGCAATACTTCTGTCTTCATTATCCCATTAACAGATGGGAAAGCTGAGGCCGGGAGAGGAGACATCGTAGGCTCAAGGCCACTGTAGCCACAACAAGATCTTGGTCCTGGGAGCCAGTCAGCCTGGGTTCTTTCCCCTCCACCACTGTGGTAGTCACTCCCTCAGACCTCCCCTGGCCTTGGCTAGTTCCCCTGAGAGCCCCCTGGAGAAACAGAGGGAAGAGGGGGATTCTAGCCTTGTTCCAGCCCCCGCTGGCAGTTGGATTTGCTTCTCGGGAAGACAGATGTTTCACCAAATGGCAAATGCACGTGCTTTTCCCTGGCTTGGGGAGGAGGTGGGCGCTGAGAAGGAGATGCCAGCTGGTTGGGCAGAGAGAACTACAGCCACACCTGAAGTACTTAAATAGCCACCGCCTTCTCTGGGCACCAGCTGGAGGGGAGGCATTTGGGTAGGGTTGAGGTGGGGGAAGCAGGGAACAGAGCAGCCCATTCAGAACCTGTCAGCCCCAGGATGAGTGCCTGGCTCCTCCGCCCAGAGGGACTTGGACCATCCACCTTACCTCCTGAGGCCTCCATGGCCATCACCTGCCAGGTGAGGATTTAAAGTCTGCTTAGAGGGTGCCTGTTGAGGCTGAAGGGAGAGAACCTGACTAACCTAACTAACGTGTCTGACGCATGCTGGCACCCAGTAGATACTCACTACTTGCTTGCTATTATTATGCCAACCTTCATGCCTGGGCAGGAGTCCTCACTGTGGCATCCCTGACAAACGGGCCCTCACCCTCTGCTCCCCCACCTTTTATGACAGAGAGCTCTTCACCTCCCATGAGAACCCACAGTGTATTATAATAAGTTAATTGCATGAACCCTGATGTCAAACTATGTGTTGGAATTCAGACTCTACTATTTAGTGTCTATGTGACCTGAAGCAAACTATTTAACTTCTCCATGCCTCAGTTTCCCCAGTTTAAAATGGGAATAATAACAGCACCTCCCTGATAGTGTTTAGATCATTGCCTCTCAAGCTTTCATGTGCACACGAGTCACCCAGGGATCTTGTGTAAACAAAGATTCTGATACAGTAGGTCTGGGGTGGGGCCTGGGATTCTGCATTTCCAGTAGATGAAGCAGATGCTGCTGGTCCTTGGACCACAGTTTGAGTCTCCAAGGACTGCCTTGTCCCAGAAGTCATGAGGGGGCTATGAAGTCATGAGTAGAGGCAGTGGGATGGGAGGCCAGTAATTTAGGAAGAGATTAAGGTCCCAAGTAGGAGAATGGAAAGGGGGGTGGTAAGGCCCCTTGGCTCAGGTGGTCCACTCTTACAGATGCAGAGACCAAGGCCCAGAGAGGGTGGCTGACCTGCTAAGGCCACACAGCACTGGGAGGACCTGTGGTCCTTCACCCTTCACCCATCTTGCCTTCCAGCTTTCTAGCCAACAACCCTCAGCCCCCTGGAGTCTCTTCTGACCTGTGCTCCTGTTTTACATCTTGTCATAATACCAAGAAGAGGGAAACTTTAGTGAGGTCAACCAGACTCCAGGCCTAAGAGTCTTAGATACCATTGTCCCTCTCCAGTAGGTCAGCTTGGGGCAAAGTGACTATTCCAACAAACAAGGGGCAGGGGAGATCAGGCCCCAGCTCTTCTCCTCACCCCGCCAGGCCCAAGGAGGAGGCTTTGCTCAAACCCCAGGATGATGACGACAATAGCAGTGGGTCACCACGTATGGGGTGCTTCCAACCCGCTAGGCTCATGCCAGCACTGGCAGGCAGGACTGCACCTTGCCCTGGCACCCGTGTTGTTAGGAGCCCAAGGTCACCTGCTGGAGGACCCCCAGGTTCTGAGGAGGGGAGGCAGCGCTCAGACTCCGGCGGCCACCTCTCCGGGCATCGGCGATGCGAGACGTGGCGAACCCCTGGGGGCACAGAGTGGCCTGGGCAGCGGAAGCCCCCAGCCTGGCCAGGCCGCGCCGCCCGCCCGGCAGCCGAGGCTCTGGGATGGGCCGGGGGCGGGACCTCGGGCGGCGGCGCTTCCTGGCTCCGGGGCGCCGGCCCGGCCCGGCCACGTCACCGCCCGGCCGAGAGCGCGCTGGCGGAGCGGCGGCCCCGGGCGGAGTGCGGCGCGCGGAGGCGCGGACAGGGGCGCGCGGGACCCACAGGACGGGCCGCGGACGTGGCAGCCGCCTCGCCCGCCAAGAAGTTTCCCAGGAGTTGGCTGCGCGCGGGTGCCGGGCCGGCTGGACCATGAACGTGTTCCGTATCCTCGGCGACCTGAGCCACCTCCTGGCCATGATCTTGCTGCTGGGGAAGATCTGGAGGTCCAAGTGCTGCACAGGTGAGGGGCGGGAGGAGGAGCGCCCGAGGGCCTGGGCCCCCGCCTCTGCTGGCCAGTCCCCTGCCCCCGGCTTCAGGGGCGCCTCCCGATGTCTGTTCAGGATGGGGACTTCCGTTTGGGAGTCAAACAGTTTTCACAGCTCAATTGCCAAAGAAAATTTAAAGTTGTACCATATCGAAGAAGGAGACCCTGGAGATTATGGAGGGAGAGGGTTTGTGCCCCTCACCCTTCCTCCCCCCCCATTGCCACTGCTAATTGGAAGAGGAGGAGGTAAGGGGGAGGGGACTCCCCTCCCTCCAGACATCCCTTCGCCCCGCTGGAGCAGCACCGACTGGAGCCCATTGTTCCTTCTAGCCTCAGTCAGGCCCAGGGTGGAAGGGGGTGTGAGGGCAGAGGAGGTATGGACGCAGTGGCCCGAAACTCTCTCTTCTCTTCCCACCCCCACTCTCCCCCGCCGCCTCCACATCCTCCAAGGATGCCCCCCCAACCACCACCACCCCTGCCTGTGTGTGGCACAGGCATCTGTGATGTGGCAGGAGGAGCCCAGCCCAGCCCAGGTGGGCATGAAGCTGCCCCTGAGCTGAAGCCTGGGGAGGGCAGGGGGTCTCTTTTGCCCAGTAGTCTGGCTGCCCTGCTGGGGGGTTAGAGGAGTTTCAGGGGTGAACTGGTTGGTGGTGGCCAAACAGACCCAGTGCATTAAGAGGCTGCCCAGGCCTCCTGCGGCCATCTTGGTCTGCTGGGGTCCTGCAGGCCCAGCCCTGTGCTTGGCACTGGGGTGAGGAGCTAGAGATGAGTGTAGGCTTCTTCTGGGGGCCAAGGAGAGAGCCAGCCCCAAAGGCTTCCTGAAGGGTGCAGCTGTGTGCTGGGTCCCGGAGCCGGGCAGCGTTACCCAGGGAGGGTGTGTGTGTGAAGGACATGGGCGTGCAAAAGTCCAGCGATCACAGAGGGCAGGGCACCTTTCTGGAAGGGTGAGAATTTGGGGGTGATCTGTGACGGAGGTGGATCTGGGGGGATAGGGTGGTCTGAATGTGACAGGGTCTTGTCTGTCAAGCTGGGGAGTTGGTACTAGGGAGCCATAGAAAGTTTGAGAGCAAGGGAGAGGGCTCAGAAAGGGATCTGAAAGCTGTGTGGAGGGTCCAAGAACAGAGACAGAGAGCAGCATGGAGGCCACCAGCCTGGGAGGCTTGGGGAGAATGGGGGATGGGTGCTGATGGGTGATTCTAGACCTAGAGGCCATTTGGGTTTGGGGTTTCTGGAGGGATAGGCGCCCGTGGTTGCCAGTCAGGGGAAGGGGGCCAGGAATGCTGAGAGGGGAGGTTGGGGACAGAAGTCTCCGTTGATGGGAAGAACCTAGCTTGGACTTGTCCCTGCACTTCCATGGAGGACTCTGGGCTGGGTTTGCAACCATGGTGTGTGTGTGAGTGTGTGTGGGGGGGTGTTGTTCTCCAAACCATTCTACCAGGCACTGTTCTAGGCCCCTGGCAGACAGAACAGGCAGCACAGGTAGGATGCTGGGCTGGGGGAGCAGACTTTCTAGCAGTGGGAAACCGCCCACAAGCAACAGTGGGAGTGACTGAGTAAATGGTACCGCTTGTAAGAGGTGCTCCGCGCTGTGGGAAGAGAAAGGGTAGGCTGTGCAGAAAGGGTTTGGCGTAGGACTGGTTGAAGTCTTCGAGGGTGAAGGCCTAGATGCCAGCCCCATCAGCCCTCAGGAGCAGGGCCTGGTGTGTCCCTGCTGACAGCCCTGAAGGCAGCAGGAGACTGGGGCTTTGTTCTTGCTTTGCCCCTGACTCAGTGTGTGACCTTGGGCCTCAGTTTTCCCATCTGTCAATTGGGAGGGAGGGCTGCACCTGGTTGGTGGTCCCATATGTGCTTAGGAGTCCTCAGGGACTCTGGCCAGGTACCTACTCAGGTTCTTTTCCATGTCCTGGGTCTCCGTGCTCAGCCTGCTTCATTGGAAATTATTCATTGCTTTCAAAAGAATGTGAAAACCATTGCACTCCTGATCACCAGGGCTCCGAGTCATTGAGGAAAATGTACGTGAAGCCTAAGGGCTTGGCAGGCTGAGGATGGAGGGGGTGGGGTGGGGGAAGGCCATGTGAGAGGGGTAGCTAAGCATCCCCCACCAGGACTGCCTCCTGGACCCTCCTCCTCTATACGGCTGAGGCCCTCCCAGCAAGGCCTCCGTGAGGGCTCAGTGAGATGGTGTAGCAACAGGCACAGCCAAAGCTGGTGAGCACTGCCTCCCCAGGGGGCGCATTCCCACACTGCTGCAGTGCCAGACCTCCAGGGAGGCACTCAAGTTCCCACTGAATCCTCTTTAGTCCTCACATCAGTCCTGCCCCATATATGTGAAGGTGCCCATTTCACAGATGAGGACTGAGACTCAGGCTTGCTACGCTGGTAGGAAAGCTGGCACGTGGACCCAGCGCTCTCTGGAATGTTAGGGGCTTCAGTGGTGTTCATCCTCAGTCATTAAAAACATCCTTCTTTCACCCTGGCCGGTGTGACTCGGTTGGTTGACTGTCATCTCATGCACCAAGAGGTTGCTGGTTCGATTCCTGGTCAGGGCACATGCCCAGTTGCGGGCTCCATCCGCAGTAGGGGGTGTAGGAGGCAGCTGATTGATGTTTCTCTCATACACGTTTTTCTCTCTCTCCCTCTAAAGTCAATAAAAACATATTTAAAAATATACATCCCGCCCTGGCCGGTTTGGCTCAGCGGTTAGAGCGTTGGCCTGCGGTCCAGAGAGACCCGGGTTCGATTCCCGCTAAGGGCACGTACCTCGGTTGCAGTTTGTCCCCGGCCCTGGTTGGGTTGTGCGGGTGGCAACCACTCTATGTGTCCCTTTCACGTCGATGTTTCTCTCTCTCCCTCCCGCTCTATCTGAACAAAGAATGGAAAAATGTCCTCGGGAAAGGATAAAATATATATATATATATATATATATATCCCTCTCCCCAAAATGTCCATTACAGGGGAATCAGTCATGTAAGGCACAGTTCAGGGGTGTGAGGGAACCAGACCTGAATCAGGTACCATCACTTCTCAGTGCCCACCTCCCCAGTTGTTCATTACATTTAGGACAAAATCCAGACATGTCAGGCAGGCCCGCATGAGCCATTTGGTTCTTTATTTTAAGGGCACTTGGGAGTCACTTAAGGGATTTAAGCAGAATTTTATTTTACAAAGTGCACGTTGGCTGCTGGGTGGCTGGCTAATAGCCCACCGGGCGAGGGGTGGGCAGCAAGGAAAACCTTGGGAAGCCCAGCCCGGGGTCACTGAGGTGGGGTGTCTGGGCTGCGGAGCTGAGAAGCAGGGAGGGGAAGGACAATGAGGAGAGAGGCCCAGGGATGGCTCGGTGTTCTGGCTTGAGCCCAGAGGGGATGTGGTGGCCTTTATGAAGGAGGGGATACAGAAAAAAGGAAGGCGTTTGAGGGGAGACGATGAGTTTGGTCAGAACTCAGAGGGGAGTCCGAAGCTGGAGTGTCCCTGGCATGTGGACTGAGATGGCAGAGGGACCGAGGGAAAAGAGGTTTAGGTGGCAAGGATGAGGTGGTGAGGACAGGAGCTGCCACAGGAGGCGAGAAGCCAGCGGCGTGGACAGTGGTTCAGGATAGAGGTGGTCTGGGACAGAATGAGCGAGTGAGGGCAGACTTGACCTTTGGATGCAGAAACGTGGGCACAATGATGGGTGTGGTTTGAAGTCTCCAGACTGGTGTGGGCTCGAGAAAGCAAGAGAAAAGGGAGGCAGGGCTTCTGCTCCCCTCGTTCTGGCACCATCTCCATGACGTATCAGAAGTGGCCCAAAGGAGACCAGGAAGCATGCCAGCTAAATGCAGCTTCAGTGCCCGGATTGGATCCTGGAACAGAGCAAGGGCGTCAGTGCGAAAACTGGTGAAATCCAGATCAGGTCTGGAGTTTCGTCAGTCGTGCTGTACCCACGTTAGTCTTGGTCTTGGCCAGTGTTCTGTGGCTATGCAGGTGTAAACACTAGAGGAGGCCGGTGAAGGCATATGGGAACCCTGCACTCTTTACCGCTCTTCTGAAACTGTTCTCAAAACAGAAAGCCAAAAAGGAAGGAGGCCAAAGCAGGTAAGGAAATAGCAAAGAAAGTATGACTCGTTTTGTCATCTCCATGTATCCGTACGTGTCATATGTGTGCATATGCATGTCATGTGTACAGATGAGCCAACAAAGATTTGGAAGGGCGCACGCTGAAGCTTTGGGATTCAGGTGATGGCTGCTTTTTAATTTACAGCTTTATGTGTTTTCTGATTTTGTTGTTGTTGTTGTTGTTGTTGTTGTTAATCCTCACTCGAGGACATTTTTCCATTGATTTTTTTTTTTTTTTATCCTCACCCGAGGATATTTTTCCATTTTTTGTACAGATAGAGTGGGAGGGAGAGAGAGGAAGGGAGAGAGAGAGAGAAACATCGACGTGAAGGGACACATCGAGTGGCTGCCACCCGCACGACCAACCAGGGCCGGGGACAAACTGTAACCAAAGTACGTGCCCTTAGCGGGAACCGAACCCGGGTCTCTCCGGACCGCAGGCTGACGCTCTAACCGCTGAGCCAAACTGGCCGGGCTCCATTGATTTTTTAGAGATAATGGAAGGGAGAGAGGGAGACAGAGAGAAACATCGATGTGAGAGAGACATATCGATTGGTTGCCTCCTGCATGACCCTGGGGCTGGGATTGAACCTGAACCGCTGACTGTAATCGATCCCTAGACACTTTTATCTGAGGGCCAACGTTCTAACCACTGAGCTACAATGGCCAGGGCATGATTTTTGTTTTACAAAGAGTAAAAATAGTCATGATGTTTATGACTAGGAAAAAAGTCTTTCTTTTTTAAACTTTTAAAAATGTGGGACAATAAAACAGAATGCCCCCAGGCCCTGTGCCTTCCTTCATCTGCTCTAGTCTCCCTGGTGAGTCAAGTCAGTGAGTTGCTCTCCAAAATACAGAGCTGGGATTGTCACTGGGGTTCTGGGGGTGGAGCACACCCCCAACACACACCAGCTCCATCACACCACCCAACACTTTTTCCAAAGCAAGAACTGAGGCAGCACACGTTGTGCACTGGAAACTCAGTGTTTGGTCTCTATTTGGAGACTGGGAGACAAATTGCAGCCTAATGAAAGGAACAGAGACTCAAGTGACCCGATGAGAAGGGGTCTTTCCTGTTCCCCAGAGAGTGACAGTGCCTGGACAGTGTGTCTTCATTAAAGGCGACTGGGCCCTGGCCGGTTTGGCTCAGCGGTTAGAGTGTCGGCCTGCGGTCCCGAGAGACCCGGGTTCGGTTCCCGCTAAGGGCACGTACCTCGGTTGCAGTTTGTCCCCGGCCCTGGTTGGTCGTGTGGGTGGCAGCCACTCGATGTGTCCCTTCACATCGATGTTTCTCTCTCTCTCTGTTCCTCTCTCTCCCTCCCGCTCCATCTGAACAAAAAATGGAAAAATGTCCTCGGGTGAGGAAAAAAAAAAAAGGCGACTGGACTCGCCCTGGTTGGTTTGGCTCAGCGGTTAGAGTATCAGCCTTTAGACCGTATGGTCGCAGGTTCGATTCCCAGTCAAGGGCATGTACCTCGGTTGCAGTTCAATCCCTGGCTCTGGTAGGGGTTGTGCAGGAGGCAACCAGTCGATCTGTCTCTCTCACATTGATGTTTCTCTCCCTCCCTCCCTTCCTCCCACTCCATCTGAAAATCAATGGAAAAATATCCTCGGATGAGGGTTAAAAAAAAAGGCAATTGGACACTCTGAAGGCCTTTCCAGCTAGGCTCGGGGCTTCTCAAGTGTGCATGGACCCGGGAGTGTGTTCTCATAGTTTCCTGTCTCCCTCTGGCCACAGGCATCTCTGGGAAGAGCCAGATCCTTTTCGCTCTCGTCTTCACCACCAGGTACCTGGACCTGTTCACCAACTTCATCTCCATCTACAACACAGTGATGAAGGTGAGGAGGATGGGAGCCACGGTGGTGGGGCCTGCTGAGGCCCCCACGTCGAGACATTGTGCCCGGGAACTCAGGCTATGGAGTCAGGCAGACCTGGTTTGAGTCCTGTCTTGGAGAAAGAAAGGCTACATGGGAGGGAATCCTATCTGTCTTGCTATTGTGAAGATTATATGCGATAATATAGGTAAAGTGCCTAATATCCACAAGATATTTAACCAAAGTGAGTTCTCCTTCTCTTCCATATCAGAGATGTCCCTTCGGGATTCCTGGCATCTTGTGCCTAGGATTGGTGGAAGAAGGCAGCTGTTCCCTGTGGGGTGGGAACGTCAGTCTGAGGTCCTGAAATCACTGTCTACTTAAATTCAACACACAAGTAGCACACACCACCTGCTTAGTTCATCCTCTGCCCAAGGGTCTCACTTGCACACTGCAGACCCAGCCCTTAGCATGGCTGAATGAGGTCTAGGAACTGAAAAGCGGTATTTCTCCTTTTTGTTTTGTTTTGTTAATCCTCACCCAAGGATAGTTTTCCATTGATTTTTAGATGTAGACTGTAAGGGAGAGTGAGAGAAACATTGATGTGAGAGACATCGATTGGTTGCCTCTCGCGTGACCCCGACCACAGCCGAGAATCCAACCTGCAACTCAGGTATGTGCCCTTGACCAGGAATCAAACCTGTGACACTTCCGTTCTTGGGCCGATGTTCTAACTGCTGAGCCAAACCAGCCAGGGCAGTTTCTACATTTTTGTGAGATGAAGTGATCACCACTTCCCTGATTCACTCACTCATTCCAGCGTTTGTTTTGTGCTGGGCTCTGAGTTAGGGGCTGGGAATTCAGAATTGGACAGGACACGGCCCCTCTTACAGGAATCCCCTCTCAAAGGGGAGACACGGTTACACAGACATTTACAGAACGTGATCATGGGCAGCAGTATTTTTACACAGGGCACTATGGTGACAGAGTATGTGTGCCTCATTCTGGTGAGAAAAAACTTTGAGGAAATAACCCGAGTTTTTTAAAGTCTTTTTTTAAAATGTGGTACGTGCCCCTAGCGGAAACCAAACCCGGGACTCTCTGGTCCACAGGCGTACGCTCAACCGCTGAGCCAAACTGGCCAGGGCTAACCCGAGTTTTTAAGTACAAATAATTCTTTAGGCCAGTGTATTCCTGGACCAGCATCATCAGCATCCCATAGAAACTTGCTAGAAATTTAAATCTTTAGGCTCATTCAGACCTACTGAAGCACAAGCTGGGGGCAGGGGATGGGGTGGTCAACTATGTGATTTTAATGTACATCCAATCTGAGATCCTAAAATCATGATCAGCGTGCTGGAGGACAGCTACAGTTAAGTAGAAAGAGAGCTTTTCAGAGTGATCGACTGACTCAAGGGTGTTAGTCCTTGTGGACGAATGCTCGCGTCACTGATGCAGACCTAGGAAGCTGAGGTTTACACGTGCTCCGGATCGCCATTGCTAAATCCTCCCACAAAGGTCAATCCTGGCCTTTTGCCTAATTCTTTACAGTGAGGAGACGCTTGGGCACCTTTGAGTCTTCCTGGGAGCACTACCTGTCCCAGTTAGAAGCACAAAGTTACGTAACAAAGGGTCATTAGCTTCAGGTTCTAGGCCACTGGACCTAAGAGAAATTGCAAGCACATTTCACCTCTTCCACCTTAAGGCAGAGCACTAGCCATTAGGTTTGGTAGGTCCCAACTCACTGTGGCTTTGAAGCCCAGCAAATAGGCTGAGAAATGACTTCAATTCCCATGTGTCTCTTTCCCTTTTTAGGTGGTTTTCCTCCTCTGCGCCTATGTCACAGTGTACATGATCTATGGGAAATTTCGGAAAACGTTTGACAGTGAGAATGACACCTTCCGCCTGGAGTTTCTTCTGGTCCCGGTCATTGGCCTCTCCTTCCTTGAGAACTATAGTTTCACTCCCCTGGAGGTAAGGGAAGGGCCTCAGGGCACTTATTCTTAAAGGCAAACGTGTTCCCTAACATCCTGCCCCCTGGGTTCTCATGTCTGGGCTTGCTTGGTTACAGTCTGTGACTCTTATTGCTCAGCCAGTTTAGAAATGAGCAACAAGCTGTCCGTACTGCCCCATTTGCAAATGGGCACGTGTCAGTAGTGAGGATGCACTCAGCACCACCGCACCACTTCCGGCTCGAGACCTCTGTCCAACAGGTGATCCGTGGATACTAGAGCACAGTCCAGGCTGAGTTCAACTCAGTAGGTTTGCGCTGTGGCCCGAGTCTGTAGGGCAACAGGCACCTCAGGAGATTCTGATGCTGGTGTTTGTGGACTATATTTTGAACCATGGCCTCAAGGCCAGTTTATACAACAAAATACTGCAACAATTAAAAATTATGAGCTATAGAAATGTTCATGCTGTTGTGGAAAAAAAAAAAGCCTCTTTCAAGAGGTGGAATGAGCCTGGCCGGTGTGGCTGTGAACTGAGTGTTGTCCCATGCACCAAGAGGTCACAGGTTTGATTCCCACTCAGGGCACATGCCTGGGTAGCAGGCTCAATCCCCAGTGGGGGTTGTGCAGGAGGCAGCTGATACAATCGGCCCTTGTTTATCGAGGTTAATCAGTTCCAGACTCTACCACGATAAATGAATTTCCACAAAGCAGGATTAATTACTGTACGGTCATCCCTCGCCACTTCACGCTTGGACGGTTGCGGCTTCACTATCGCATTTTCAAATACTACAGTATACCATACTTGAAAAAACCGCAGCACCGGGCAGCCGCGAATGTCGAAGCGCCAAGTGGCGAGAGACAACTGTAGATGTTTCTCTCACATTAATGTTTTTCTCTCTTCCTTCCTCTCCAAAGAAAAAAAAAATCAAAACATTAAAAAGGTGGAATGACATACTGATTAAAAATTATCAAGAGCATTTTACTTCACGGTATTCTCTCCAATAGACATATTTTAGTAGTTCTTTTAGAGTTGGCTCCCATTCTTGGTCTTGACCAACCTCCTCTGGCCACTTATCTCCTTGGCTCAGATCCTCTGGACTTTCTCTATCTACCTGGAATCGGTGGCCATCCTGCCCCAGCTTTTCATGATCAGCAAGACTGGCGAGGCTGAGACCATTACCACTCACTACCTGTTCTTTCTTGGGCTGTACCGGGCACTCTACCTAGCTAACTGGATCAGGCGGTACCAGACTGAGAATTTCTACGACCAAATTGCAGTGGTGTCCGGAGTGGTACAAACCATCTTCTACTGTGACTTCTTTTACTTATATGTGACCAAAGGTAAGTGCTAGAACAGAAGAGTTGCCGGTACCAGCCCAAAGGGGTACTCGTCTAATCTTTGAGGGGGTATGGAAGTGTGAACAGAGGCACATCCCTGCCTCTCATGGTGCTTATTCTCCGGACCGCAGGCCGACGCTCTAACCGCTGAGCCAAACCGGCCAGGGCTCATGGTGCTTATTCTAATGCGGGAAAACAAAAGTATTTTCAGGAAATGGTGCCATGAAAAAATAGTACAAACCATATGTATGTACAGTGCTAACACTGTGACAAGGAAAGACCACTGAGGTAACATAAGAAAACAGAGCCCTTGCCCTGGCCGGTTTGGCTCAGCGGTTAGAGCGTCGGCCTTCGGTCCTGAGAAAACAGAGCCCTGGCCGGTTTGGCTCAGCGGTTGGAGCGTCAGCCTGCGATCTAAAGACCCGGGTTTGGTTCCCGCTAAGGGCATGTACCTCGGTTGCAGTTTGTCCCCGGCCCTGGTTGGGTTGTGCAGGTGGCAACCACTCGATGTGTCCCTTTCATATCGATGTTTCTCTCTCCCCCTCCTACTCTATCTGAACAAAATATGGAAAAATGTCCTCAGGTGAGGATAAAAAAAAAAAGAGAAAACCATTCCAGAGAACAGCTTATATGTAAGCCCCAAGGCAAGAACCTGCTTGTGTGATGGGCAAAAAGGCTAGCGTGGTCAAGGGAGATCAGTCACACGGGGTCATAGAGACCAGAGGAAAAGGGGCGTGCAGTGCAGTGATTGCAAAGGGCTGCTGCTGCTCAATCCACCAGCAGCCAAAGCAGGCAAGTACTTATGGGACAATTGCAGTGGTTGGGTAGAGGTCATCAGTGGAAATAGAGATGTGTACTAAAGGAATCAGGTGCGAAATTTAGGGCTTAAGGGGGGTGGTATTAGCAGCCAAGATGGGTATGAACCTGTAAACTCCAGTGGAGTTGCCCCCTTGGCTTTATGATCTCAACAGCATGAACTGGGCATTAGAGATACTACAATTATACAGATTATGCACAAAGTTGTAAAGGAGTCATCACTGTGGTTAATTTTGTTTTTTCCCTGAAAAACAAAAAGTTTAATATTCCAAATCTCCATTTTCTTCCAGTCCTTAAAGGAAAGAAGTTAAGTCTTCCAATGCCAATTTGAGTGCCCTCAGAGAACACGGACATGAAGCCAACTATTTGAGATGTTCTACTGAGTGACGACTTACACACAACTCAGACCAAATGTTAAAATTAAAGTCAGAAAAATGATCAGTATGGATGGATTTCAGTAAAGCACTGATCATTCTATCTGGGAGACATCATCGATACCTCCTTTAGAGGCAACGAAAAAACCTGGGGCAATTACACAAAAATGGTGCCATACAATGTCAACAGGAATGTCAAGATAACTTAGGTGCCTAACTCACTCATGAATGGGTCAAATAAACTACTGTTCTCTAAGGCCCTAGTGTTGAGACTCATGCTAAGGAAGGCTATACCAATCTGGAAGGTTTTCCTTCCGAATACAAGGTGAACCATATTTACAAGCTTTGGTAAGACTTAATCACACCTCACCTTTAAAATTAACTCAAGTCTTACTGTGGCTCAGTCGTTTCACACTCAGTACTGATACAAGTAACAATCCTAGGTCAGTACCATTAGCATGACGACCATTTTACTGAGGAAACAGACCCAAGCCTTTACCTACTAGGTCTTGTTTTACTGCTTTGTAATTCAAGTTTTTGCAACACCAGTCAATCCCACCTCCCCTTCACATTTCTAGGTGCTAAATAAGGCAATTTCCAACAGCCCCAACCCTGGTCTTAAAGCAAATAAAAACTCTAAGAGGTCTACCACAAGACTATATTTGGAATTTTTATGTAATAAAAAGTTCACACCTTATTGTCAACAGTGTTTATTTATACCTACAAAAGAAAACAAGATGGTATCAAAAGGACAATTTACAAACTAAGAATAGTAACATAGCTCTTAGCATCCTGTGCCTGAACATCACACATCTACAAATTTTTCAAGTCTTAATGCAACAGGAATGTGTTCAGAGACCAGCAAGGACGTGAATAGAGCACTGATCCCAAGCAAAAGCCACCAACCTTTTAGATGAGAGAAGTCCACATAATGACTTAAGAGGGATTGGGGAGAAGCAGCCCCATAGCTTAATATTGAAATCCTTTCCCTAAGTGAGTTTTAACCATGACTGAAATACCTAGCATCAAATAAGATCTTGTCTGCTTGTTTCTGAAGCAGAAGGCAGAACCTGAATTATGAGCAACAGACATGGAAGCAGAAAATTTACTCTAAACCTACAGAAAAAACTCTGCCAAGTTCCAGCTGTGCTCAGAACTACAATAGCTTCAGAGATTTGGAACATGCTGTTATTCTGATGATTACAACAACCCTGGTGGAAAAAAGGGAGGCAAGCAGTAAACTATTGCTTGCTTGCCCAGAGACCATTCCTAAAAAGGGATGCTTCTCAAACCTGCAAGTGAGTAAGACAGCCCCTCTGGTGGCACCTGTTTAAAAAAAAAACAAATCAGAATTTTGGTGTAGAAATGTCTACAATGGACTGGTCAGTGCTTAAAAAAATTGGGGGATGGTAGTGGGAGAAGAACACTTTGGTTTAAAAGCACAGAGCACTTTCTGCCATGTTTGTCCATGCCTACTATCCTCTTTTGGCCTCAACTTATATAAGAGGAAAAAAAGTTAAGGAAGTGGTGTGTGTGTGGGGGGAGGGGGGGCAAGATGGGGGAGATGTCAAAGTTCTCACATGCATATATTTTAACTTACGCTGACAACCTACCTGCTGTATGTTGCATATTCAATCATACTTTTAGGACCCCTTAGAAACAATCCTTTCTCTCTCCCTTAAGAATTTCAAAAGGAAAATAAAAAACCTCAAGTATTTAGATATCTGATCTTACAAACCAGCAAGCACTCAGACCCCAGCCAAAGAATGCAGTGGATCCTTCCCCTTTAAGTACATTGTGAATGAACAATACTGGTGACAGCATCCAATACTAAGACTCACACTTAGATATGGAAGAGGTTTCTGAGGCTGTCTGATCTCCCTGTCCTGTTACAGTGAACACAAGAGCAGAAGACTCTTCCCAGGCCTGTTATAGTCTCAATAAAACAGTCAACATTACTATGAAGGGGACAAACTCACCTACCTTCAGATGGAAGAAAAGTAAAAAGACTTACACTTTAGTCCTCTGTAACTTTTCTTAGGCACTACCTACCTGTAAAAAGCTGAGTGCAAAGGATGCCAAGGAAAATTTGCATCCAAAAGCTGTTATAAAGCACTGCAGAAAACAGAGTATGAAGAGAGTAAGAGGTCTTTCTTAACAAACCCTTAAGATTCTTCATTCAAGATAACTTGGCCAAAAGGGCTGAGAAGCTGACAAAGAGTTGCTTTTTTCCTAGTACTACAGAATTAATAATAAAAAAAAAATTTGCCCATTGAGTATATTGTTTATAATTAAAAGTGGTTTTTATACTGCAGGTGAATGCATACTTAACTGGTTAATAAAGTAAATTTTCAGTGAGCATTTACGTTCACTTTGCTCACAGCAGCTGCCTGGTTGAAAAATGAATTTCACAGATGGTCCCTGTTTACATGGGGAAGAAAATAGGCAGCTTCCACCCAGATGCTGAGATGCTACATTTAACCACTGAAATAAACACTTGGGGCTTTTACTTTAAAAGATATACTTAAAATACTCAGACTTGGCAATTCAATTTCTAACATGACACTAAAATGATTATTTTTTAGTCACTGGGAAGGGGGAGGGCAGAGAGTAAGGGAGAAAAAACCAATCAGGAATTTTTTGAAAACTGTGAATGCACTTAAAAAGCAATCAGCCAAAATGACAATGGCAAAGCACTGTCTTAAAAACTCATCAGGCCTGAGGAACCCTGTTCCAGCTTGGGAAACATTAAAAAGCATTATGGAAAATGTGCAGGGAATTCCCTCTTGGTTTTCTAACTCAGTATTGAGAGCAGTTTAAAGCACAGATGCCATCTTCTTCTGCAGAATTCAACCCTTTACCCTCCCCACCCACCCCCAACTCAGGACAACAAAAAGGGCTCCCACGAAAGGGCCAAATACCTTGCTTTTTCTTTTAAGATGAAAAATAGCTCAAATATCCTCAACATGCAAAGAAGTTGGGGGGAAAAATTCTCTTCCAGTCGGCTATATTATATATATTTTTCTTTACAAAATCTATTATTACAGACTGGATCAATTTGGCGGGCAGAAGAAACCTGGCAGTGAATTCTAACTAATCTGCATAAAAGACAAATCACAATGGTTGGGGGAAAATAAAAAAGAGAAGGGGAACAGAACAAAAAAAGGGAAAGACAGCGTTCCTTTAAATGTAGTAAGTCTGCACAAGTCACTACCACTTGAGTGGTTTCATTTACGTGAAGGGGGAGGGGGAGGAGGAGGAGGGGGGTATTGATAGGCAGTCTGCCCCATGTAACCTATCATACTAGTAGCTCCGGGAGGCTGTGCAAACTGTTGTGACATCAGTGGCTGTGGCTGCTGCCCAGACCGGCCTATCCCACTAAACTGCTGGCTAGAGCTCTGTGAACTTCTCCCAGTTGAGGCGGTGCTACTAGCCCCGTAAGTGCCAGCACCATATTCCTGGGCTGTATAGCCACTGGTACCATAAGCAGCTGCACCATAGGTGCCTTGACCATAAGTGTATTGGCCTGCTTGTGCTCCAAAGGCAGAATTTGGACTTCCATAGCCACTGCCATTAGCATAACCAGCTCTATCGGTTTCACTACGATCCCGATAGCTTGCAGAGTCTCTCCGGCCACCATCCTTGACTCCTCGAAGCCTCCGGTCACACTCATCCTGATACATCAGATTGGGATTGTTGGCTGAAGAAGTGGTCCGGTATCGAGAACGACCACCTGATAAGGATACAATGAATTTTTAATGCCAGACTTAGGATGCAATCATATTCACATGTAAACCTACCACTAGGTACAAAAGTATTCAACATTTGTTCTTGATCTTTAGCTAGCCCAGCTTCCAAATCTGGCCATAATTTAAATCATTAATGAAACATATTCAAAAGGATGATAAACATAAAGGATATTCAACTTCTTATCCATTTAAAACCCGTCTTTACCAAGAAACACAATCTTAAAAATGTAGGAACAATGGCAAAGAGGTATATGACTTAACCATAGGTCAAAAAAAAAAAAGGCAAGCATCTAAGCTCATACCACCATGAAGGAGGGATCCTCTACCAGTGCACAGTGGTTCTGAAGGGTTGCTTTGTGATCCTAACTGTATCAGAATCATCTGATTCTTTAAGAAAGCTTTAGGAGCCCTGGCCGGTTTGGCTCAGCGGTTAGAGCATCGGCCTGCGGTCCCGAGAGACCCGGGTTCGGTTCCCGCTAAGGGCATGTACCTCGGTTGCAGTTTGTCCCCGGCCCTGGTTGGTCGTGCGGGTGGCAGCCACTCGATGTGTCCCTTTCACATCGATGTTTCTCTCTCTCTTCCTCTCCCACCCTCCCACTCTACCTGAACAAAAAATAGAAAAATGTCCTCAGGTGAGGATAAAAAAAATAAAAATAAAAAGAAAGCTTTAGGAAAGAATTTCAGGTTCCTAGCTCAATTCTAAACTCAAAAAACTATATATATAAAACCTCTCGGGTAATTCCAATGTAGAGCTTAAACATGTATGCAGTTAAGTTGGGAAAAAAATACCAAAATGGTGTTCAGGAGGTGCAGATCCTAGTATATTTTGCAACTAATTTTTAGATCCTATAGCTATGCCTGTTCTACCACCATAAAATGGTGTAAAACTAGGTATTAAAGTAACCATAATTCAGTTTAATTTTGAACATGCACCATGTACTTCAAAATGCAAAGGTCAGTTTTATATTATCTATAGAAATAACATGCTGCGAAAGTAGGACACAATCACAATGTCTTACTCAGAAGACAATATGAAAACTATTAAGCACCGTCCTTTATTAAGCAACATACTTAAAGCCTTCACAGAATTTAAAAAACAAGGCACAATGAATACAAAAAGATACCTTGGCAGTACCTGGAAAACTCCAGGACTTACCCTTACCCCCTCCTCCGCCGCCTCCTCTGTGGTCCACCAGCTGCATCAGTTTTGGATTGATAGCCTGATTAGCTTCTTCCAGCACTTTGATCAACTCTCTGGCCTGCTTGAGGTTTCCTGGGGTGAAGAAGGTGTAGGCAGTGCCCTTGTTGGTGCTACGCGCTGTTCGGCCAATGCGGTGCACATAATCCTCTGAGCTGTTTGGATAGTCATAGTTGATCACAAACTTGACATCTTCCACATCTTCCAAGCCAACGATGAGTCAATGTGTAGGTTGACGTGGCAGGGAAAGAGAAGGTAAAG